AATTTTAAAGTTCATCTTAACCTGGCATACAATCTACAGAACCAATAGCAGAGGAAGAATTAAGGCAAATCACTGCTAAACATTGACCTCACCAAAAATGGCACCTGAACCACTCAAAAGAGCAGAAATGACAAGCTGGGAACCTCCCAGTAGTTGGTTTATAATTATATTCCTTTTTTTCTCCCTCTATTCTAGAAGGCAAATAAAACCTACCATAGACCATTGTCATTCTATTATAATTTCATCCCCAAGTAGCCTTCAATGACATATTAATTCTCCAGTTTTTCATTTCTTTAGCTTGTTCTGGTGACTGGATATATCTCACTATCTTGGTATGTTGTAATGATACTACCTCCTACAAGATGGATTGTTTGCTCTTTCCATCAACAACAGTACCCTATTATTACAAGAGAAGAGTCCCTACCCATTTAAAGAGTCAAAAGAGAAACAATATTTTCATAATTAGGCAGCAGTATAAGAAAGAAGTAAGTATAGGAACTTTTTATGAGAAACTTCAAGAAAATAGGTTTCTTGACTTGAGACAAATGTCACACTTTACAGGACTGGCTTCCTTTAGATGATAATTAGATGATTCACCATAAGTTAGTTTTAAATAACTGGAAGTATGAAAGAACATATACAAGTTGTGAGATCTACAAGCAACTAAGGAGAGTGTGATATGAACCATACACAATAGAGGATAAAATAAGATAACTGCAAAGTAGGTGGTAACATTTAGACCTTACTGTCTGAAAAACCTCTTGTAGAAATATGGGGACAGAGAGCTTTAAAGAGAGATAGGCCTATGTTCAAATTCCAGACCTACCTCCTGCTTGATGTGCATGTTTGATCAAATTACTCAAACATCCCAAACCTCAGTTTCCTCCTCTGTAAAACAGGAGTGATAAATTTCTAGGTCACAGGGGTGGAACGAGAACTGGTAGGTAATGTGACATATGGTAGGTAGTTGCTATCGATTGTGGTTATATCTGGAAAAGATTTACTTTTGAATTAAAAATCGTATAGACTTCTTTTTTTCAATTTGAAGTAGAAATGTCAAGAGTTTCTTTTGAACGTTCTACGGAGACTTCTCTTCCTAATTCATTTACCACATTGGCAGAAATAGCACTGTAAGCTTAACTTGGCCGAGTCTGCTTCATTCATCTGTCAACAAGATTCTAAGGTTCAAACCGAGTTGACAATTGTGGAAGGTGGATGGAACGGAACTGCTGTGCAATGGCGTCATGTTTCACACCTCAGAGGGTTCTTGCTACCAACAATAACATCATATCTCTGTCAGTCAAGCATAATTATAGGGCTTGATAGACCGATACCAATAAAACAGCCAGTTAAAAAAGGTCTCCTGACTCCCTTCCAGCTGCACGTATAGGACTTACTTGATTCTGTGACTCATGAATAGTACAATGGTACTTCCTTTTGGGACAAAAGGACAGAGGGACTGCACCCCCTCCTGACTCTGAAAATCAGAACAGGAAGAAAATTGGCTCCATCTGAAAACACTGAAGTTATTTCATAAATTTTGATCAAACCCTTTACTTCTTATTTCAATATGAATATATTCTAAAGACATCCAAAATAGGATACAATTTCATAGTCAGGAACACAATGGTCAGCATATCATCATTTTTGTAAGTAACAGTTGTCGCATTTGAGTTAGACACTCAAAAAGCCTGCATAGGGTTCTTTAAAGCAGTATGCTTATACTTGTTACCTTTATGAGAAAGAAAACAGAAAAAAGTATTTGCTACTCACATTAAAAAAAATTACGTATATTGTCATAAAAGTGCCCCATTGCAGCCTTTTATAGCAGAGACTCCTATGGTAGTAACATGTTTTTGTTAAAATGGACAAGGTTGAATAGCTTCTTGTAGAGAAAATTGATACGTGGGATCTAATGCAAGTTGCATTTCAAGCTTTAAATTATAAATGATCTCAACATGCAAGAATATGGAAACTGACAAGAGAAACATATAATTATATATCCACACATAATTCTAGAGTGACATATCCAAGCTTTCCAAAATATATCAAATGAAGATATAAGTGCAAGGTTGCTAAACTAAATTTTATCATTATGTATGGTTTTATGGTTTTCTTTCTTTTTTTTTTTTTTTTTTTTTTTTTTTTTTTGTTAAGTCTTATTTGTTAATCTTACTTGAGACCATTACATTGGGAGGGCGAAGAAAATCAGATGACTTGACTCTTTGTGATAATGAGGGACAATGTGATCTGCCATCCTCCCCTTGGGACAACCAGTCTGTTGCTGTTTGTTCCTTCAGAGCAGTGCCCTAATGCCATCTTTTGTATAATGAGAAAGTGAATGACAAGAGAATCACATCAGGATCCTCAGTTACACTTCATGATCCTTCTGTTCACAGGAAGCCACAGTGCCTCCCATGCTCAGGGCCAGAGGAAGTTTATTTAGTTGCCATAAATTATATGCCAAGAAGCAAGATTATTCAACTTTTCAGATGACCTTTGGACTTTATGTTTAGAGTACAGAATGATGGCAAGAGCATTTGTGATTAAATGGCAAACAATTATCTTGATGTCGTATCCAGTTTCTTATTTGGGGGGTATGTTAGTTACCCCACAAAAGCTAGCTTTTCCTTGCTGTGGCCAAAATGCCTGACAAAGACAAGTTAGAGGAAAAAAGATTTATTTGGGGCTCATGGTTTCAGAGGTTCAGTCTGTGGTCAACTGAGTCTTTGCTCTGAACCTAAGATGAGGCAGAACATCTGTGGAAGGGTGTTACCCAGGGAAGCTGTTCCCCTCATGGTAGTCAGGAATCAGGGAGAGGAAGGGAAGGGGCCTCAGGAAGAGGAACTCATCAAGAGCACTCCCCCAATGACCCACCTCCTCAAGTCAGACCCCACTTGTCTATAGTCACCACCCAGTCAGCCCAGTCAAACTTGGACAGATCTAATAGGTTACAGCTCTCACTACCCAATCATTTTATTTCCAAACATTCCTGCATTAATGCAAGAGCTTTGGGGTTTTGGGGGACACCTCATATTCAAAGCATAACATGGAGATAGCTGAGTGATATTTTAAAAGACACAAAATCAGGGAGATTGTTTTTTTCTAAAAATGAAATTACATAAACTGACAGATATCAGTTCATAGAAAACAAGTAGAAGGAAAAGCTATACATAAAATTAAAATGATGCTAAAATTAGGAGGAATAAGATCACTAGAAATTAAAATCATCAATAATTAAATACTGACTTTATAAAAATATGTTGTTAATAAGTATCTAATCATATTGCTATTATTCATTATTTACTCATTCATATTTACTCAGATATAAGAAACATAATGGAAATTTGTTATAAAGTCACTTAATTTGTACCTCTAAAGCAAATTTTAATAGAAAGCAGATAGTTCTTAGAAGTCATGGATAGGGTTTAGAAATTAGAGTCTCAATCAGATTTCAATAAGAGGTATTTAACCTACGAGGGCCATATGATATAGGGTTCTAAGAACTATGGTAATATCCACTGTATTAGTAAAGATAGCATAGTTGATATTTTTTTCCTCTCTTTTCTCCCACTGAACATTATTGGAATGATAACATCAGAGGGTTGTTGAAAACAAAAGGAAATTACATGTCTAAAGTGCCTAGGCTATAGCCTGCTGTATATTTAATAATGCCAGTTCTCTTTCCTATATTTAATAACACGAGGACAATAGAAATCTTTAAGTAGAAAATTTGGACTAATAGATAGCTAAGAAAACAAGTGCTACTTGAATTTTCAAAGAATCAAAGAGGAAATATTAGTACCCTCGCAGAAATGAGATTTGACTATCTCTCCACATGGTGAAAATGTATGTCACACAAAAATGTCTTGAACATGCTACTCTAGCTGTAATCTCTGGGTTTTTTTCCTGGATAGTAGTGGTTTATTTCTAGTTTTAAAGACAGAGACTTAAATAGGAAGCCAAAGAGTAAAGACTCCTAGACCCAGAGCATGCCATCTGCCTAGCATTAAGCAAGAGCTGAAAGTCAGTTACAGAAGCAAAGACTTTCTGACCGTGATTTATGTTCCATCCTTGAATGTGACAGGAAGACTGCAAAAGATATTTGGAAGCCAATGCTTCCTCTGAATCAAGTAAATGAGTATATGCTAAGCCCCTCTCCCCAGACCATGCTGGCCTGTTAGGTAAGTTGCCAATATGGAGTCTTTGAATCCTGCAGCAAACTGGCTATCTGGGATGAGAAAATATCTCAAGGCCAATGATCATTGCTACTGTAAAGGCACAGTGCACAGAATAAACACTGGGGTCAGACAAGAGATATCCAGGATATTACTCAAAAACACATCTAGCTCAAAGCTGACAAGATAATCTGTTCCTATGAGTGCAAAGCAGACTGGAATGCTAGAGCTATGACCTACTCAAGGAAAGAAAAAAAGAGAGTGAAACTCTCCAAGGGCTCCATCTCAGGCTCTTTATGCAGGCAAAGCTCCAACAGACTTCAAAGGGAGTGTTGCTAAGGAGGGAGGCCTGGGCCAAGCCCACAGGGGGTATCACTTCCGAGATCCTGTTGCCATCTACATTTGGTGGACTGGCAAATGCAAATATTTCAGATACGAGTTTAAACAGATGAAAAAAGAAGTGTGAAATAGCTTGGAGATTTGCTTGCAAAAGAAACCTCAGAATTCCAGGAAAAGTATTTAAAATCAGAAGCTTCTTAAGTTATCCCCAATGTCCCAAGTGAGTAATTGGTGTGTGATAAAGGATCAAAAATTAAATTGTGTTTTAAACGGTTACATATTGCACTCCAATCTCCAACATATCACCTGATCCCAAAATTGTGAAAAAACAAACAAAAACAATTCTTTCAAACTTAAGTACTCCTAAAAGGTCAATAACATGTTTCTAGTTGAAACATAGATAATATTTTGATGCTTTAACCAAATTTTAACATACATGATGCTGATTAATGTAGAAGAGCCCAAGTCATCAAATATACTTACAGGAGGACCTGTGGGGTAAGGGGTGGAGAGAGAAGAAAAAGAAAAAGGGAGAGATGAATTAGTGAGTGTGCAAAATGCTAAGATTAAATAAAAGCTTGAAAGATCTTCATCATTCTCATCACAATACAAGGGACATGGAGGTTACTAAGAACTCAGTGATTATTGGTCATTTTGTTCTAGATCATGAACTTTTTTAGGTCATGAGCTCTTTGAGACCATCTCAGAAAAATGCCTTTATACTGGCACAAAAATCTTACATACAATCTCATGGGATTTTCAGATTCCTCCAGATCTGTTTGTCAATTACTAAGAGGGCAATCATTTTTTTGGGGGGGCGGGCAGGGGAGTAGGTACCTGGGATTGAATTTAGGGGCCCTCAACCACTGTGCCACATCCCCAGCCCTATTTTGTATTTTATTTAGAGACAAGGTCTCACTGAGTTGTTTAGCATCTCCCTGTTCCTGAGACTGGCTTTGAATTTAGGATCCTCCTGTCTCAGCCTCCCAAGCAGATAGGATTTCAGGCATGCTCCACCATGCCTGGCCAATTATCTTAAGTGAAGTCTGTTCTATTATAAGTTTAGATACAATATGAATCAAGAAAATCTTTGGTTCTTTAAGACAGACCAGTTAATGAGAATTGATATCTAACTTCTTGAGTTAGGTAAAACAGCCAAATCAGAAATGTACCTGTGATTTGTTTTAAGAATCCTTTTCATTATTAATACTGTCTAAACATAAAAGAGTAACTCCTAGTGTTTATGCCAGGGTTTCATTAAAACTATGGATTCTCTTCAAAACCCAAGCAAAGTCTAAGAAAATGTCAGTATTTCCTGCACTATATGTTCAATTAAAGCACCAATTCTAAGTAGCAAAAAAGTTGAGAATTGATTTTTATGTTTCCAATAAAACTTTGCATAAGCATAAAATTTTCTTTTTCCCTTAAATGCTCTCTTTCTTATGACAAAAACGTCATTTCCATAATTGTGTGAATTCAGCAATATTTAGTCACTTCTTTTTGCCTCAAATTTATAAAGCAGCCTATTAAAAATGTTTGCACTTGGTGAAGGGATACCTTTACAAGTTTTCAATTATTCAGTTTCAATGAGGTTGAAAGATAGCTTTTGAAGATACTTTTAAAGAAATCCAGCAGCTATATGGCTCACATTAATGAATTTTCATAATCTCTTTTTAATTTGACAGTTTTTTTTTTTTTCAAAACGGAAAAGGAAATGAGACCTCCCCAATCTCCCAATTAATCTGCTGTCTGCTCCTCCTGGGTTAGTCTCCTAAGGTTTCAACACTCAGTAACTGACCATTCTGAATACTAATAAACAACTTAGAGAAAAAAAAGAAATTCACAGCATGTTACAATCAAACTTTAAATTACCTTACCATGAAAGAAAGAACAAATGAGCTGATAAAAACTTCATCTGTCCATTTACATTTTTGGAACCTTAGACTTCATAAAACAAAACAGTAAGTGAACTTACCTACTGGTATTATCGTGGTTGCAAAAATATTTTAATTTGGCATTTCCATTTTGGTTTGCCTATAGGGATTTGGCCTGAAAGCTAAAATGACTGGAGAGGGAGTCAGGACAATTAGTTCTGTTTCAAGTTTGGCTCATAAAAATTGCATGGCCTTGGAGGGATCACCTGACTGCTTCAGGCCTCTGTTTCTTCAACTACAAAATGAATATGCTGGATTGAATACCAATGCTCTTGTCATCACTAGAAGTTTTCTACTATACAAGAAGGATCAAAATCCCCAACACTTAAAAAGAATGGGAATAAAAGCATGACAAAATTGTGCCAGTTGGATGACATAATAATAAAGCTTTCCAAGGCATGTGCCCCAGTGTCCTAAGGCAGATATTTTTGCAAAAATCCTGTATTTCCTGACCACCTACAGAGATGGAAACATGGGCAATGTCACCACACTGTGCGCAGCTAAGAAACCCTCAGTGGGCACAGCAAAATTGGGAGTCAGTGGTTATCAAACTGCAATCAATATTTTGTAAACTTCTTATGACTTGATAAAAACAGAAGAGTAAAAAAAAAAATCTAAATCTAGTGTAGAAGATTTAAACATACACTCAACCTCCAATAAGGCAGTAGTATCATTAATTAGAAGAAACAGATGTGGGGACCTCACTGGAACATGAATGACACAGCAGCTGAGAGAGACTTACCAGATTCTCCTCTTCGACCCCTCTTCCCTCGTTTTCCCGGAGGACCTGAAATACAAAGAATACATTTTTTAGTGTACTTTAACTTTTTTTCCCGGGGTGGTGGTGGTGGGGCATTGCAAAATGGTTAGTACATGATTTCTATATATTTTCTCACTGTTTTAAACCACCAACTTCAAAAAGAGACCTGATGTTTATAAAGAGCAATGTTGTCTTTAGTGTTTCAGCAAAACTGTTAAGCTCTATTTAATTATAAGCTGATCTGATCTTCCAGTGTTACTGAAGAACATTAGAATCAGAATTTTTGTTCATCCTGCTTAATATCATCAGTAAAGAAAGGTTTTGCAAAGCAAAGTGTTAGTATTGAGATTTTGTTTGTTAAAAATATGTATTTTCTGAAAGTTTTAGTATATTACCAATAGAAAGTACTGATTCCCCAGTGACTACAGTTTCTGCTCAGTCAAGTTTATCATAATCTTTCTGGAAAGATTATGATATTACATTAATTAGATATGATATTACATTAATTAAATGTAGATATTAAAAATAGATATTAAAATGTAGATATTAAAAATAGATATGATATTACATTAATTAAATGTAATATCAGTCAAGGAAAAGAGCTGTAAAATATTTCTATTTCATTACATGTGAATATACTGAAACTTCTTTAACTGATAATCAGTTGAGTAAATTTACCTCTCTTAACTGCACTATGTTTGGATAGTAAGTTTAATTTTTCTAGAGATAGACTCATTTAATGAATAGTCTTTGTGATGATGCTATTCTAAAAGTACAGAAAAAACTTTTTTCCAGTGAGTTGACTCTAAGGACCACCAAGCTGGTATGTATCAGACTTAGCACAAAATTCTAGACATTCATAGCTTTCAAAGCCATTATTCTCAATTATATAATTTCTGTCCTCATTTCCTTGGGTAGGAATAGCTTCCACTGAATTATGGTTCAGGCAAATAGACGAGAATAATTAGCCCACCATGAGAATGGAGGGCCTATAATATTGTTGGGAAAAAAGGCCAAGGAAAATAGAGAGTTGACTGGATTTAAAGAATGAGTTGCAGTATAGGCTTCAGCACACAGTGACTCTCAGTGTGACACAGAGCCACCAGCTTACACATGGAAACACTATCCTGAGAAATGAAAACATCAGTGGGCCAGTTAGTTTTCCCCCAAATCCTCCCACAGGATATATCTGGCCATGAGTGTTTGGGAAGAGGGTTAAAATCAATTGAGCAATGAAACAGATTAAAAATATTAGGAGAAGCTGCTTTGAAGTAAAATCCACAACAGTCATAGAAATTTCAGATTTCTTTCTGTATTCTGGGTTAAGGGGAGGTTTTTGTCATATTCAAGGTATTTTTGGTCAGGTTAAGAACAGGAAGAGAATCAAAGAACTAAGTATTCAAACCTAGTAAGTCCTCAATAGGTATGAAAAAATACATTTATACACTTACCAAATATACATATATGTGTCTGTACATACTGACATTTTCTAACATATACAACTTCCTTAATATTAGTAATCAGATTTTTTGTTGTTGTTATACAAAGTCACTTAAACTAAGAACTACTTAAGAAACACTGTGTAGTTAATGATGTCTGTGGTTCACTTGGTAGGAAAAGTAGTAGAAGGCACCGTAAGAGAACAGTTGACCATTATTCCAGAATAGAATAGAGAAATCCTAAGATGGAATTTTAATTGACAAGTAAAAACAATACACCTTTAAATACATAGAAGGAGAAACTTGGGACTATCAAAAGATACAGAGAAAATATTAAAAATTACCAGACAGAGTTATAGAGAATTACAAAATGGTAGGCATTTTAACTGACTGCTGACTGACTCACAACAAAGGTGACAGAAGGTCCCACCCTAACTTTTAGGACTCATCTTGTCCTTACTTATTTATTGGGAATTAGCTTATTTACTACTTTTCCCCTCAAGAATCTTCCTTGGGAATGGTAAAATTCACCAAAAACAATAGATTGCATAAATAATTTTAAGAGATTGAAAAAAGTACTTTTAAAATAACAGATTAGGAAAAATGATCAAAGAAGCAATGGTATCTTTTGAAAAAAATTAAATGACAAAGGAATAATATTTCTGAATCTCTCTGCCTTAAATATTCAATCAGAAGGCTTAAAGAAATGAATTAAATGTTGCAGGAAATCTGTTACCTTGAGAATTGAAACACAGGGTGTAAGGAATTAGAACACACTTGGCAAGACAGATATCTATTGAAGAGAGTTTTACAAAGAATTTCATAATATTTGACAGAGAAAATGAAGCTAAATTATGAGATGATGAGAATCTAAAATATACTGGATTTGCAAATAATATCAAATTGAAGAAGAATATATTACAATTACAAAGGAAGGAGAAGACCATATTGAGTATTATCCTGAGTGCAGTGAACTGAAAAATTATATGAAACTCCCAGAAAGACCTAGATAAAGATCTTGCATCAAGGAGAATAAATTGAATTTTGATGTCTCTGTGTGGGTAAAAGAATTTGATCTTGCTTCTGAATTTAAGAGCAAAAATAAAATTCAAAAATGAAATGGATGAGATGAATTTGACAACAGACAGCTGGCCTATAAGAAGTGAAAAGACAAAAGATCAGGAAAAAACACATGATAAACGTTTTCCAAACAAAAGTGATATTAACAATAGTTGGAAAAGACAGTGACCATTTCCATTCCAAACTGAGTGATAAGTGTCAGTCAGGCATCAACTATAAGAATAAATAGAGTGGGCTGGGACTGTGGCTCAGCAGTAAAGCGCATTTGCCTGGCATGTGTGAGGCACTGGGTTCCTTTCTCAGCACCATGTATAAATAAATAAAATAAAGATCTACCAACAACTAAGAATAAATAAATAAATAAAGTAGCTAGAACAGGACTCTTATTCACTGAATTTGGCCAGAGGTTTGTAACAGAAAATTCCAAGTAATTCTATCAGCAGAAAGACATGACTCTGCAAAAGAAACAGATTAAAAACTATGAATGAGAAGAGAAAAAATAGATGCTATCAGCAACAAAGGAAGTGAAACTTCCACACAGAGAATTTATGCATTGAAGAATGAGTTCTAGAAAATAGAGGGAGACTACAAAACCAGATTGCTCTTCAGGATTAGAAAATTCATGGCCACTGCCACTGCTTATGTTTTAGAAAGAGTTTGTGCTAACTTTGCAAAGATGATGCAAACAGTCTAAGAGAGAAATTCTTTGTTTATTTTTTTTAAAGCAGCCATAATGATAGTACTTTACAGACCAGCCATTATAAACCCAACAATAGACAGATCCAGGTCATCAAATAATATCACAGCAAGGCCTTTTATAGCAAGCCAGTGATTTGGGCCTAAACTAATATGGTGTGAACACTCTACTCCTAACTAATGATATACTGTGTTAAGGCTCTCCTCTAAGATTAGAAGTAAACCCGTGCATATATATGAGCTTTCATGTGGCCTTGAGGGTGGGTGGTTATTAGAGGTACTAAACGTGCTGATCTGGCTTATCTGATTACTTTCAATAACCTGTTGATTCTATCCCTGTTTTTATGCATCTGTTTATTCCTCTCTACTCCTGTCAGTATTGCAAGATCAAGCTTAAACAACCTTTCTGGGGGCTCAGATACACAGTATTTATTTTTTATTTTTATTTATTTGGTTATTTTTTATCTTTTATTTTAGAGGACTACAAATTGAACCTAAGACCTTGCATGTGCTAGACAAGTTGGTTATCATTGATCTACATCTCCAGCTCCAGTATGCATTTAAAAGCAGTAAATTCAATTTAAAATTTGAAAAAAAAATTGACAAATTTAAACATGTCAATACAAACATGTATTGACATGTTTCAATGGCTAGTAATAAAAATACAAAAATTGTTAGTAAAATTATTCAGTGTGTTTTAATTACAAACAATAAAAAGGAAGACACTAAACTTTGATTTTCATACTCTAATCAGATCAGATCAGAGTTTTAATAATGTGAATATTTATAATGTCCTGATCCCCTAAAACTAAACTTGTTTTGTTAAATTCCTAGAGGATATTTTAAAAACTGAATAAAAATACCCAAACTTTAAAATAATTTTATGGATATGCTTTTTATAAGAATGTTTATATTGAAGCTTTTATACAGGAATTTTTTTGAGAATTCCATATAAAACTTATAACAAAATATATTTTTAAAATTATGTCCACTCAATGAAGGTTAAATACAACTATGGGTGGAGCTGGGGATCCAAATCATTGGTAGAGCCCTGGTGTAGCAGACACAAGTCTCTGGGTTCAATTCCCAGCCCTTCAAAACCAAATTAACCAACCAAATATCATGCTTAGTGAAATAGCCAAACCCCCCAAACCAAAAGCCAAATGTTTTCTCTGATAAGTTCATGCTAATCCATAATGGGGGGGTGGGGAAAATAAAAGAACTTTAGATTGTGCAGTGGGGAGTGAGGGAGGGGAGGGGGCAACAGGATGGGAAGGGTGGGGGAATGAGATGGACATTATTACCCTATATACAGGTATGATTACACGACCAGTGTAACTCTGCACCATGTTCAGCCAGAGGAAAGAGAAGTTATACTCTATGTATGATGTGTCAAAATGCATTCTACTGTCATGTATGACTAATTAGAACAAATTTTAAAAATTCTTAAAAATTAACCAACCAAACAAAAACCAAATCCAATGTGACCCATGGAAGGTAATAATAATAATAAAAAATTATTTGAGTGGCTAATAAATGAGTTTTTATTAACAATGTAAAATATTAAGTCTAAAGCCAACTGACTATGTACTCGTTTAAATGTAAAACAAAATACTCTTTTTATGTAGTAGCCAAAACAGGTTATGTTACTGGTTTAAAAGAAAATGAGCTGATTATTCCAGAATATAGTTTTCACTGGGAGATTCTTAAAAAGGAAAACATGATTTTCTGGCAAAGTATGTTTTTCCTTTCTCATGAAATATACCAAGAATAAGACTCTTGTTTTTTCTATTTTTTTTTTATTTTAAAGCA